TGTTTAGTTAATCTCTAGTATTATGAAAAATTTAAAAATTGCTTAAGTGCGTCTAAGACTAATTTTTGTTTACTATAGCAGCCATATTTGTTTACATTTCAAAGTTAGCAGAATAGTGAATTCAGTTTCTGTACTTTCAGTGCTTTTTTGCCAAAATTAAAACTTTCATTTTTGTGCATCGAAAAATCTACCTTGTTGCCTGCCGCCTGAATTGCTTGTTTTGCGTAGAAACTCTAATTTAATTATAAAAATTGTTTTTTTTTATTATTATTTTAACTGTATTTGGTGTTTTATTTGTTTTTATATTTTTCAATTTTTTAATGAAGATATTTTGAGGTTTTGTGTATTTTTCCTTGCAGCAAAGTGAGAACTGAATTTATTGAATGAGAAATACTATATCTCTAATGTAATTCGAGGAAGTAAGTGTTTTGTATTAGCAGCAAATATTGGGGAAACAGAGAACAGAGAAGAATGTTTACAAGTAGCGCATGCGCATTAGATAAGCGGCGCTGAATCGTCCTGGAAATGTTTTTTTTTTTTTTTTTTTTTTTTTTTTAAATGTTTAATTTCTTTTACACATCGTTTTAGATTTATTATAGTATTTGAATAGAATATGTGGCAACGATTAGATTAATTCTTCAGATGATATAATTTTTGAGCATCCTGAGTTATAATATGAGATGTAACGCTGTTAAGTGAACCTAGCGACAGAGTGTAACTATGGTAAATAAATACAGTGCATTTTAAGTGTGATTTATTCTGTTGTGTTTTATGCGCTGTCTACGAAGTAGATTTAATTCACTGAATGAGTTTAAATGAAATGCAGGAAAAAATTCGTATAATTTAGTATTCCGTGCAAGGAAGTCATGTGGTGCACACATCATATTTTTTTATTTATTTATTACGTTAGTTTTGGAAGGGCTATAAATCAAATTTGTCAAAATTATTATTACAATTTACGAATAAAAATCTTCATATATTCTTACCAAAAAGATATAATAAGTTATTTTGTGCGATTTCTGTAACGGTACAGCTGGCATATAAACCTATAAAAGTAAAGTAAGTTTATTTCAGACTCTGTTTTGACATCAAAATGCGTTAAGTGCGTTCAGATTGCATTAATCAGATTAAGTTATAATGATTCTTATACTCATTGCTTTCATCTATTAATCGCTCTGTAAACGATTTCAAAAAACTGATAAAGCTTCCTTATAAATTTTACCTTTAAGGAATATGTTAATTTATTAGTATAAGTTTCTTCTTGTGTGTTTTCGCTCCCACCAGCGGCCGAGCGGTAAAGTCGCTGATAACTGGTAGTTCGGTCTGGGCTTCGAATCCCGGCTGCATGGCCGTTTTCGTGGTTTTCCTCATGTGTAACGTGTATACGAGCCAGTTACCCTTAGAAAATCCTCCACGAAGGCATTCCTTTGCTTAGGCAGATAGCCCTCGTGTGCTTTGCTGTAACAACAACAACAACAAACAAACAAACAAAAAAAAAAAAAAAAACCCACTGTGTTTTCTTATTATCTTAACTAGGATTGGTTTGGTTTGGTTTATTTGGGTTCATTTGATTAGACCAAAGCACACAACAGCTACCGGCCTAAGGGGAGGGATGCCTTCGCCGAGGTCTTTATAAGGGAAACAGGTTCGTACACACGTTACACATGCGGAAAACAAAAAAATGCCCAAGCAGCCATGGCCTAATTGTCGAGATTCAAACCAGGGACCGAACTATCAGTGCTCAGCAACTTTACCAATCCGCTGCTGTTGGGCTATCTTTACTAAGAGTATACTGTAGCATGAGTTTTGTTAATTTCCACATATATAACGAGCACGAATTTCTTGAGAAGTCGGCTAAAAAGATACATTCTTTCTTTCAGTAGATAGTTCGCAAATGGTATAATTGATTAGTCAATCAGTCCAATTAATCTACTCATTTCATTACATTTTGAAACAGTTCATTTTCTTTCAACCAAACACTCTACCTTAGTCGGAAATGAGGAAGAATAAAAAAAATTCAGTTTTGTTTGCTTACGACAAAAGAGAAGAGGATCACGAAGCACTAGCCTAGCAAACGTATTTATCGTATAAATTACCCAAAACTCTGTCATGTATAGTAAAAATAAATACTAAATGAGAACAGAAGCTACAAGTTTTGACTCTCAGAATATCATGCTACCCAAAGCACGATTCTTTCTCAGTTACAACTTCTGCAGAATTTTATCGCTACCATTTGATAAGACAACAAAATGTTTTCGCTCGAAGAATTCAGGAGTCGTATTATTCTTCATTCTCCGACCATCCAACTAAATGTGGCGATAAATGTGGCTGACCATTGATCGCTTATCCTCTGGAGAAATAGGCGAAATGTTTGGATGGCATACTGACAGACAATTGTTAGTGTCAGGGGAGTGAACTGGCCACTGTAATCACCTATTTTTGGAGAGAACTAACAGAAGAACGGTACTACAAGCGAGATGAATTAGTAATATAAGTATTTTCCATGTAATGAAAGTTCAATTCCATGTTCTTTGAATCTGGTAGCTGAAGAGCTTTTGGTTTGTGTTTAGAGAAAAATCTACTTGGAAAGGCGTCTAATTTTTTTTTTTTTTTTAGGATTTTTTTTATAAGCCCTGACAAATTAGAAAAGGAAGGAAGGATAAAATGATGTATCTCGCTTGATTCTTCCCATTTTCTTTTTAGTTATTCAAAATATATTATCTGAAAAAGCATAATTAACATCACGTCGGTAGTTCTGACTTTCTAACAAATGACGATAACAGGAATTAAGACTTTTCTAAACTATGACAAAGCAATCGATTAGGTATCTACCCGAGGGAAAGAATGCCTTTGTGGAAAACAGTTTAAAGAAAACTGGCTGGTATTCACGTTACACATGAGTACAACACGTGAATTCCCACGTACCTAGCCTGTTTACCACGGATCCAACTATCATTATTCAGCTATTTTAACGCTCAGCCGCTGACTAGCCGATGAAAAGAGAGAAACTTAAAACAACGTAACAGATAAACTTAACAGATGAGATTAATTTTTTGGATGAGCGATTAACTTTTTGGATGATATTTTTTCCTAATACTAAATGCATATTATGAAATTTACAGCACATATACACTATGGTAAATTCAATATCTACGTTGAAATGTCAGCGATGAAAGAAGGTATTCCATTTCTTTTGTTTTGGTTTTAAAAATTCCGAAATGATTTCAGAAAGTACTGCGAAAGTTAAATTCACCTTTAAAAGAGATAAAATTTAAGTACACAGCATTTGTTCAGTATTGCAATTTGAAAAAATGAAATTTGAACATGCTGTTTGAATTGCTATCTTTTCTCACTGATATTAATATATTAAACTGAAAAATGGTTCGCATTATTAATAAAATTATTTTATTTATTTATTGGAAAATAACTTTGCTCGAACTTTTTAAAAAACTCCATTTCTAGGGACAGTTTAAAAATAAATACATTTCCTCTGTGACTTTTGAGTTTTAGATACATATGGACTATATAATGATATAATAATATGATGCCTTAAAAATTTGTTTATAATTTATATTTTATGCATTTATGTAATATTTTGTACTGTTTTTTATTTATTTATTTAGTGCATTTTATGTAATAATTTACTCATGCGCTGTTGTTCAATCAAATTTACAACCACTTATTTTGTTTGTAAGGTTAGTTTATTTGAATATGGCAAAGCATATGATGAGAACCTGTGCAAGGGAACGGATGTCTTCATCGAGTACTTTCTAATAGAAAGAAGGCTCGCCAGCGGCCGAGCGGCAAAACCGCTGAACACTGGTAGTTCCGACCTGTTTTCGAATCCAGGCGAACGGGCTGGCTGCATGGATATTTTAGTGGTCATATTGTACATGGTGAATAACACTGCAACAATAAAGTTATCCCGATTGCCTGGGTTCCAACCTAGGTTGAACTACCAGTTTTCAATGGTATTTATAAACCACTCGAGCACGAATAAGGCTGTTTATAAGCATTTATTTCGTATATTATGTTGAAGGTTCTTAAATTTCTGAATCTACCAGCGTTTAGATTATACGAAGAGCTCCATTAAAACTAGAAATACGGGCAGAAACATACTAGGCTTTGGTGGCAAGACATTTGGCAATCTTTTTTTAATTTGGTGAAATTTTGAAAGCTTCCAGAAAATGCGTTTTTGAAGGCGTAGAAGCAATTTTTCTCGAAGCCACTACAGCCACTGAGTCCTATAAATAGGACATCGTGAGTCAGTTAAATTGTTATTAATACGTTAACAATATTCTTATCTGATCTTAACAAAATTATTAAAAAAAACCTATTCGATTTATATTTCGGTTATTCTATACCACCTTTCGAAATGATCAAACTGTTCTACAAGGGGCTCAGGCACCCTGGTGTCTCAAACACCGATCTACAGAGAGAGTCAGTTAGATATGGATGAAGAATCTCAGTATGTTCATACTATCTTCAGCTCGGTATTTACTGCTTTAGATTTCGTTCTGCGAAGATTATTTTTAACTTGCGATATCTGGCGATATTCCTTTGTATCAAAGATAATTTCACTTTATTTCTGCTTTCTTTATTCCTTGGGTTAATTAATACTGCTGTAAGAGTGCTGTTGTTATTGCCAATAAAGATGAAAATCTTTCTGATTACTTAGGCTAATTATTTAAGGAGATCTGTATAAGACTGCTGTGGCAGGCAATAATACGTTATAAGCATTTATATATTTTTTGACAACAAATACAAGATTATTGATGATTTTGTGAAACATTTTAAAACCTCACTACAAATATGCTATGCAGCCGATATCAAATTTTATTACATTGAAGTACAGTAAAATCATTCAACTTTTTCTGTACATATTTCACAAGTTTTCAGTTCTTGCAGTTTTGCTGATATAACAGACACCTTCGCATCACTGCGAGGATTTACTTGGAGATTATACAAAGCCAAAGTCGAGTAAAGGTTGAGAAAATTACCTGTTTTAAGAAGACAGATTTCGGATGACTGCCACAAAGGCTTGGCAGAATATTTCGTCTCATCAATCACCGAGCGGATAAGACTGCTGAATACATATAGTTCGACCTAGGATCGAATTTTAGCGAATGGAATTGGCTGTATGGTCGTTTTTTTGGGCTTTCTTTATGTGTAACGTGAATTGCCACAGCATCGGAAATACCAGCTAAGTTTGTAGAGAAAGTCCTTCACAAAGGCATTCCTCCTTTTAGGATGATAGCCCTTTTAATCAACTAAAACAAATAAATGACAATACCTTAATCAAAATTTGACTTAAACGTGGAGAGGACGAACAGAATGCGGAGATGCAGCGTTAATTCCATGACCGTTCTGGGTTATGGATTGAATCCGGTGATTTTTTTTTTTTTTTTTTTTCTTTTCTTTTCTTGTGGGAATTTGTAGAGGGTCTTTGTGACTGCAACCTGCACTAATCTCCAGGATTTCTACCACCATTTTACCGAGAGAATGGCTCTTGACCATGATATGCAGGCACCCGCGTGGATTAATGTCTGTCGTATCAGCAGAGTAAAATACTACTCGGACAGTTTTACCTTTTTTTTAGTATGGTAATATTTTATATTGGTTGTATAGTTTTCTTATGAATTTTAAAATGTTGCATGAAACTGTCACCCTTATTAACGTGATATAATATTAGTGGCACAACAAAAAATATAATACCAATATAAGAATCAGGCAAATTTTGATGAAATAAACCGAAAATCACATTCTGATTTCGCATTCAGCTGTCCGATTAATCAGTTCCATTACCTGAAGATAAGATTGTGGCCGAATGGGTCGGTGAACACTGGCAGTACGTCAGTGAAATTCTTGCGAATGGACTTGTTACATGAGCCTTTAATGACAAACAACAGGAATTAATCTTGCTCTTACCAGATCACTTATCACTTAAGGAATTCCACGTGGAGCCTCGCATTTGAAGGCTTATCGTAATTGAATCGTTATAGAGGTAAGATCAGAAGTGGTAATTTTAATTGTCCATGAGGTAACGTAAATACGAGCCAGATTTGCGTACAAAGAGCCGTATAAAAGCATTAGACAGATAGATTTTCTCTTGCTCTGCCTTAAGTACTAATTTAAACAACCAAATATTATTCGCGATTTGTTTGTCTACAAAAGTGTATTCCCATACGTATTATAAAGTTCATACGTATCATCGTGGATCAGTTTGTTTCTAATTAGGTAATGAGGCTTTATAGTTCTTTTAAGAATCTTATTCTGTACTACCTGAAGTTTGTGGATGTCCGCCTCTGAAGCTGACCATCAGGCTGCACATACGTAACATATTAACTGGCCTTATAATGCATAGGTATATCCTTCTCTTTTTGTCGAGAGACAAAGTACTTTCTTAGGAGTACAGAAAGCTGGTTGGCAATAACACATACTTTTCCTATGACTTACTTAATATGAAAAATCCATGTAAAGTGTGTTTCCACTGCATTATCAAAGCTTTAACATCTTGCTCTTTTAAAATTGATACCCTTACAAACATATCACATCAAATTTTCCGAAAATTACAGAAAAATATTACTGTTTATGTAATATATATTTTGCAATAAATGAGTAAGTATTATGCTGTTTCTGAAGGATCAGTATTGCAAAGTATATTGAAAATTTAGTATTGCATTTTCAATATTTTATTTATCAGTATTTCATCTTAAATGATGGCTTCTCTTAATGAATAAAGAACATACATAAATGGAAATATAAAAAAATAATTTAATCCTTTTGTTTTATGAATTGCAAAAAAATTCCGTGAAAAGCAATTAGAGGACGACATTTATTCGATCAATATTTCTTTGCATCAGGACTAATTTAATAAACGCTGCGGAAGTTGATCTGATTTTGTCTAAAAAAAAAATGCCACTTGAGAACTCTGAAGAGATAACGAAAACTGCCCATTAAGTAATCAGCTGTTGTAAGAAACTTAAATTGCTTTCTTTCAACAGACCTTGCTATCCCCCTTCCACAAGCGTTTATTGAGAAATGTCTGCAAGTCTGTGAATTGGGTTTAATTTAATATTTGCTGCTGAATTCTAATTTATAACTACGATATTTTGCATTTGAACACGTCCGTTTTTCATAAGAGGATTTTTTTTCAAATGCAAAGATTCTTCGGTATAATGAACTCAGAATATGGTCTTACGAGTTCCTAAGTGTTTACAAGGCCTTCCACTTGATTTGAAATAAAAAATATTACTATTTATTATTATTAGTTTCGGATAGGAAAAATTTTTATGAATTTTGTATCGCGTTGCAACTTATTATTTTACAAGCCGATCTTTTCAGGGCTAAATCCGATTTTATAATTTATGTTCTGAATACAAAAACCTAAATTTATTTTATTGAAACCGGTTCATTTAATTAAATACAAGGTGCGCATGATACAAAGTTACATGATAATGCTGGTTTTCATACAACATTTTTTGTGCAACAATCTTGTTAAGTATTTAATTGCAGTAATAAACCACCTATTATATTTTCTCGATTTATCACCAACTGATTTTTTTTTTTCCTTTTTTCGAAGCTTAAGACGTACAAACAAATAGATATTAATAAGAATAGAAACAAAACAGAGAGAATATAAAAGAACAGAGATTTGAAAACATCCTGGATATTAAATCAAATATTCCGCGTATTTTGCCAACGGTTTCATCGAACCACTGTTTACGGCCAACACCTGTAAACAATGGTTCGATGAAGCGGGTTAGAAGCCTGAAGAAGCATTAGGAAAGTCGTATAAAATTCTCTGGCGATTATTTTAACGCAGATAATTTGTATTAAGGTTAGTCAATCTTTTCCTTATTTATAAGAAATTGCCTGGTTACTTTTAGAACGCCCCTTGTATATCTCACATTAATAATATTTAAAATATAGTGCCTATGCGACATGGGCCACTTAAATTACTGGGGAGCCCAAGGCGAGTTCCTACCACCTTCTCCTACATCAGGATTGGGACGGAACTATATCTTTCTCACGACTGTAATTCGATCACTTCGTGTGGTACATCCTAAGAAGCAATCTTGGTAATGAAAGGGCTAAATGATTGGTGGGGTAAAATCCTAGTATACGGTGCAGCCTTGGCGCGACTTTGAAAATTATCGCCAACACCAAAAATGATCCAAAGAACGTCTATATATATATTATACACACATAGTATATGTATATACACACATAGTACATATATTATATACATAGTATATAATATGTTTAACTACATATTTTCTTTGAATGACCCGTTAACTACTCATCGTATATGTCCCGTTTTTACTGCTCATCATAAAGTCGCCAAAATTAGTCAAATCCCGTGTGCACCGGATACTAGGATTAAACCATTGGTGGATATTGGCCTCCTCCCCCGAGTCATTAAGTTGCAAGTTATTTGTTGTTCAATATTAAAAAAGTAGTATCGAGATGCAAACTAAACATCAGATTAAAGATGAGGATCTGTGTAAAACAGTAATCTTGATAGATCAGTGTAAAAAGTTATTTGAAGAAGGTATGCGATAATGTAGAGTAATCTAATAGACCAAGATAATTCTGCAATTATTTCTGATTACATAAGATTAATGCTCGGGCTAACTCCCTTTGCTGTCATACACACCGAAACATTAATTCTCTGTAACGCTGACTGTAATTATTATGTCAGAAAATATTTTCCGGTTCTCGGAAGTCCAGGACTCGGACGAAGGGATTTACAGTGAAGGTGAAGAAGTAAATCAGAATATAAGTTCTACATCTATATAAAAGTTTTCCTACCCTACGTATTTATCTAATAATTCATATTATTCCAGTTTCGTTTTCTGTTACTTCTGGTGTTATTATGGGGAAGTCGTATATAAATTCGAATCACATTTCATGAAGAAGTTAAAGTGATTATTATATGACCATTCTTCTATAGATTTTTAATCTATAAAAATAGAATTCTGCTTTAAATTCGATTAACTTAATTTCTACCAAGGTCCTATGTAACAAATTCATATCACAACGTAATAATTTGCACAGATATAATTAATATATGTAATAACTTCATCAGATAATTTGCACAGATATAATTAATATATACTTAAAAATGTCTTTAAATACAGGCTATCCGTAGCTTGATTAAGTTTCAATTTATATATTTTCTAAGTTTGATATGGTGCGAGAAAGATAGTCATTTAACAGAAAGTAATATTTCAAACTCAATGTGTGTAATTTAGTTACAAACTTCGAATTTTTAGTACTGATCTTTTTCGCTCTAACGATACCTATATTAGAAAAGACGAAGAGAAAAATATCTGCGACGTGGATTCGGATTAGTATTAAATATACTACTAGTTGGCTACTACTAATAGCAATTATACTAGTAGTAACTGCTACTATTGCCAAAATAATGTACGTACCGCCGTTGGTTACTATTCCCGCCATTGGCTACTATTAATAGTAGCCAACAGCAGTCCAGCTTTAATGGCATTCTTTCTTCCAGCTTCTAAGTAGTAAGTCCCTTTTCTTTAACATTTTTATAATCTTTTTTTTGGAAGCGAATTAATCTATTTACCTAAATTAATAAATTAGTTTTCGATTGTGTATACCTCGTAACTTCTGTACAGGCTTTTAGAAAAAATATTACTTATTGCATATTTTTTTTTTTTTTTTTTTTTTTTTGAAAAATGCTAAGTAGAATCTTTTTTGTAGAGGAGCACTTTTAATTTTCGAAGATGCTAAAAAACGTTTATTTACTTATTTGGTTTGTTGGTTAATTTTGAACACACAGAAACAAAACAAAAAAAAAAAAAAAAAAACTATGCTGGGAACGATGTGTTTTCGCCCAATGGCTGGCCTCCTCATGACAAAATAAAAGGCCAAAGATTGATAGAACAGCTTTTCCGTATGTATTTTCATTTCCATTTATTATGCTCTTTTATTAAATGTTTGTTTTACCGTTTTGATTACTTTGATTTTTTTAATTATAAATTTCAGAAAAGCAAAATGTTTTTAAAAATTGAAATTTCATTACTTTATATATGTATATATATTGCTA